CAATACAACCGTACACCCCGAATTGAGCTTTTAAGCTCATAAATATGTTAAATGTTTTTGTATCACTTCAAATATCGACAAAACTTAGTTTTATATAAGAACTAATACTCTAATAGTTTCTCAGGTATACGAATTTTTCTATTTAATTCATGTGGGGGCTTCAAGCTCGCCAGATGAAAGTCCGCCCTTTTTCCTCCAAAATGTTCAGATGAATATTAAAGTAATTTGTGTAAAATTTGAAGAATCTAGTTCTATTAGTTTCCCAGTGAAACGAAATTTTGTATTTTATTCATATGGGAGGTACCAAGTCAACCATAAGTCCGCCCGTTATACTCTAAATGTTCAGATGAATGTCAAAGTTCTTCAAGGAAAATTTAAAGATTCTAGGTCTAATAGTTTCCAAGATAAACGATTTTTTTTTATTTAATTTATATGGGAGATGCCACGCCCCCTAATGATAGACCGCCCACTTTTTATCCTAAATAATCATATTGACACTTAAGTGGCTCCGTCAAAATTTGCGGACTCTAACTGTTATATTATCTCAAATATAAGGATTTTATATTTTCTTAATATGGGCGTGGCTTCTCGCCCACTTGAAATATCAAAGTAAAAAGTAGTATTACCTATTCCAGACATACAGGAATACGCTGTGAAAATTTCAAGAAAATCGGTTCAGCCGCTTAGTAGTCTATAACGTTCAAACATACAAATAAACATACATTAATTTTTATATATATATAGGTTAATAATTTTGCTGATCGGGCCTCATTTGATCCTATCCCCCATACAAAGTCCCCTTCAGAAAATAACTTGATGATCAAAATGTCTTTATAAACATATTATATATGATATTCGGCATAAATAACTAACCTAACCTAAGTCCTGTACCATAATGTATAAGGATAGGACTATAATAACCCCCTGCCCCCATATTACTCCTCAATTAGAAAATCTCTTTTCGTCAAAAAAATATTTCTGAATTGACTTTATTATTAAAAAAAATTATCAAAATTTTTAACATAATCTTTGGTGTAGGGTGTCATGCCCGACTATACATTTTTACATGTTTTATTTTCTTCTTATTGAAACCATTGCTTTTTCCTAAAATTGTTTTTAAATTAAAATTTCTTTTACAATCATTTAACTGTCAAATCCTTTACTTAAACTAAAATAAATGCGAAAAAAACGGATGTCAGTATTTAATTACTATTGTTAAACCCCTTTTTAACACAGTTCGCTTAATAACCAGGATCTTTTTAATTCAACAAATCACAACTAAAGCCAGGCACGAGCCATCAGCCATCAAATCCGGCACATCCGGCAGCTGTTTAACAAACAAAAAAACCGAACCTAACTTCCTTTAAAGTTTATTTTTTTTTAGCAAAATCTTTAAATAATTGCTGAAAAATAAATTTCAATTTAAGTAGACAAGAAACAACAACAACAACTTTTATAATTTATGAAAACATGACTTTTAATAGAATACAACAACTACTACTTTAGCCAATAAATGAATTTTACACATACTTTGGTATATTTTATTTATTTATAACAAGCATCAATGGTTATTAGATTCTCTAACAAAAGCTTTCAAATAAAAAGTCAGGGAAAAATAAACCACAACATGCTACAAACTAGAAGAAGAAGACCTATGACAATTTATGGTTTATTTTTTTTTTCTTGTTCTAACGGACTGCAACAAGAAAGAAAATGCAACTCAAACTACTAGAAAATGTTAAACTATAATAAAAAAGGGAGTAAATAAATATGGGTGGGTTTCTGTTGCTGTTGTTGTTTTTGTCTATATAGAGAAAGAAAAACAAATATAATATGCAGATATATGCTTAAAATATGCACATATATATATACTATTATATGCCACAAACTATGTGTCTAAACAGGATAACAAGAAAATGCATTAGACAAGAAAACTTACAAACTTGCATTTGTACATAAGTATGTATGTATTAGTTTAAGGATCAATGCAGACTTTTGTTAAAAATTTCAATTTCAACATATTTTCCAACTAAAATATATTCTATATTGAACAAAATTCAATATTATTATTGTATTGTAAATGTTTATATGTTTGTTTAGATTATAGTTAGATGTCCTTGTTAGTAGAACATGATTTTGCATAAGAAAACGGTAAATTTCACGCAACAAATGACAATTTCGACAGATACCAACAAATACTAATAGTTAAACGAAAATTGTAAATACTATTGCTGCAACAATACCTTAACAAACCTGCTGGCATGTCGGTAGCTATTGCAAAAGTCCTGTAGGTGTTGTTTAGCTTTATATATGTATGTATTTACTCTAAGGTAGTTATTGTTAATATGTCTTATTTGTTGTTGTTGCTGCAGTTACAAACATTATTTGGCAAAAAATAATATTGATTATTTAACAAAATTGCATTTTATTGTTTTGTATTGTCATTTATTGGATAAAGTATAAAGGAAGGACCTTTTTGTAATGCAAGTCTGCTTGCCTGGCACAACAATTTGCTTTAGTTTAGTTTGCAAAACTTTAAATGTTGTTTTTGGAGAAATGTCAATGTTTTAAGGCGTGTTTTTTTTGCTGATATTGTTTTGCAAACAATAAATTTTATGTTTTCTACAGACAAACATTTCAATTGTATTATTTTATTATATGTTTAAGAAATGAGTAATTTTCATCATTTAATGCATTTTTCCATTGGGGAGTTGTCTTAACATGTACACGCCAAGACAATAAATTTAATTAAAATTGTTTGCCTAAAATGAATTAATTTTGTTATTAACCTTAAGGCTAGAAGAAGGATATAAATTAAAGTTTTTAAAACAAATTAATAGTTTGTGAATGGAAGTAAAGAAAATAATTAGATTTTAGTATTAGATTTTTATTAAGTTTTATTAACCTGCCCTAAAGTAGGCTTTATTTCATGGGTACACAGAGGGAAAAGGAAATATACACGCCTGGTACCAAATTGACACCAAAAAGTTTATAATTTTTCAATAACATCCGTTGTCAAAGTATATACATACGTGCTACAACGTTGCGTTGTCAACATTGCAACTATTCGTTGTCGAAATTTAAATTTTATACACATCCGTTGTCTAAATGTGTGACAAACAATCCGTTGCCAATAGTGAGCTTACCACGTTTGTTAACATTTAGACAACGGATGTGTATAACATTTAGATTTCGACAACGAATTGTTGCAATGTTATCAACATTACATAGTGTTGTCGTACGTATGTATATATTTTGAAAACTGATGTTATTGAAAAATTATCTTTGGTGTCAATTTGGTATCAGGCGTGTATATTTCTTTTTCCATCTGTGTAATAGTTCAAAGTTTATTAGAAAACTGAGGACTAAAAAATTAAAATAAAATTTAATTTAATTTAACGTTTAAAAACCACTTTTAATTGTTAAATTACTCCAACAGCTCAAACATTTATTCAAAATTTAATTATTTTTATAATCAGCCTAAAAGTATGCTTGTTAAAAGAAATCTTATACAATTTTGTGTTAAAATTTTAATTAAAAGGGTTGTAAGAATGTGAAGAAACAGCTCTACAATAAATCCTTAAAAGCTAGCCACTATTTGTGGCAATATTTTGAAATATATTCATTCTTGACAATTTCATAATCATCCCAAAAATATGCTTTCTTTTTAGTGACTTGATTAGTTATTTGTTTATAATTTTCTCTTTTTAAAGAAATATGATCTACAATTCTTAGTTAAAGAAAGCAAATAAACTGCTGCGTTAATATTGCCTTTAGTTTTTAATCTTTTTAATTTTAAATTAAATAAAATTATCTCTTAAAAACTTTTAATTTAATTTTTTAACTAATGAACTTGTAATAATCATGTTACTTTATCTTAAATTGTTATTATGTTTTAAATAATTTTTCTAAAAACTAACTAGTTAATCATTAAATAAATAATAGCTACTGTTTGCTTCCAAAACTATTCAATCAATAAGATTATATTATACAAAAAAAACTCTTACGCACCCAAAAATTATTGTGCAGTAAGCGCCACAAAACTGCATTATTATTAATACAAAATATTTGTTTAAATAGTATTACAAAAGTTTACAGCAAATAGTGAAAAAAAAAGATTAGATTAACTCTTAAAAAATAAGACCAGACTAGAATTTCTATAAAACTATGTAATTGTTTGCTTAAAAATTGGGCGCACTCTCCGCTAGATATTGCATTTCAAGTAGCAAATACTACATATTAAATACATTTCTTTTTTTTTTTTTGTTCAATATTTATTTGTTTCAATTTTCCCTCATACCATATACTTATTGCTAGTTAAACGACTAAAAGGGATTTGTTTAGAAATTGTAGTTGCTGTTTGATTTTTGATATGATTTCTCTAAATCCCTTGAAATGTTTGTTTACACATTGACGCCACTCTGGCGGCTCGCTAGACATGTTTGAGTTTTTTTTTTTAAATTTTTTCTTTTTTTTTCCATTCTGTTTCATTTCGAAAATTTATGAGGGAGGGCTAACTAAACAAATACTTTTGGAATTTTGGAGTGCAATATGCAGTTTCTGGCTTTTTTCCCCCCGTTTTAGAGATTATCAGCTAAATGAAATCAGTAAGTTAGGAAAACAAAATTTAGGACATTTTGAGTGTGTAAAAAGTGAGATAATATTTTTTTGGGGGTATTAGATTACTTAGATTAGTGGCGTTAGTGTTTTTTTTTCTTTGGTTGATTGTTAATTTTTATTTAATTTATATGTTTTGTTGTTATTGTTTGTACATTAAATAAATGAACAAAAAAAAAGAATTTGTTTAGATAAACTACCTGTCATTTATAAATGAATATGTGAGCAAGGTTTTTGGGCAAAAATAAAATGATTGATGATTTTTTTATAGTTGGTTTGCTTATAAGATAATGTGCTTTATTATTTATTTTGTTATATATTTAATATATATAATATATTTTATAGATTATTAATGTTTGCTGTTGTTTTGTTTTTAATTTTAGCATCCCTACCCCTCCGAAGATCAGAAAAAACAATTGGCACAAGATACCGGCCTTACGATACTGCAAGTAAATAATTGGTAAGTTAAAGAAAACATTACAATATTTAACAAATAAATTAAAATACAAAAAAATCATAATTATTGTAAAGCCTAAAAGTAGGCTTTAAATTTCTTGTTAAACTTTACCTTTAAGTATGCTTTATAATTTCCAGTTTATTTTTATGAAATTTTTTCAAGGTTTTTTTTCCAAAAATTTTGCTTTATTGTTGGTAATAACAAAAATGATTTGCAAAAAAATATGTATTTTTCAAATACTGGCAAACATTTTCTTTATAATTTTTTCGGTTTCATTTGTTCTTAATACAGCAAAAATGTACTAAAGAAAAAAAAAAAACAATCTTCGAGCATTAACCTCAATTTGTAGCCAACAATAATAAGTTTTTTTTTTTTTTTTGTAAATGCAACTAAAGTTTGCAACAACAGCAACAGTAAAAAAATGCAAGACAAAAAAAACACTAACAACAACCTTAAAAAAATAATGTTTGTTTGCCAAGAAATTGTTAGTTTTTGCTGGTTTTTCATAAATAACAACCCAGAAAAGTTATAATAACAACAACTACAAAAAAATAAATATATTTTGTATTAAACATCTTAAATAAACAAAAAAAATATCAACCACAGAATCATGGTTACAGCAAACAAAAAAATATATCGAAAAAAAATCTTAAATCAGGTTGATTTTATTTTTTGTTATAATGATATTTTTGCTGCTTTTGTTTGAAGTTGTTGTTGTTATTATAGTTCTTAGCAACATTATGATTTTGTCAACCATCATCATCATCTCTACTCATGGTTGTTATTGTTATAGTTGTTGCTTGTTTGTTGCAAATAAAAATATATACAATTGTCGGCATTTTCGACTTTTATCCAAGTCTAAGGCAGTGGCACAAAACTAGCAGCAAATACTATAATAAAAATTGCAAAAACAAAAACAATAACAACGTAAAAGAACTTATTATTTTTTATGGTGCTTGTTGTTGGTGTGTTACAGTAAGATTCGCTTCTTTGAGCAGCCTGAAACTGCGAGTGGAAAAAAGAGATGTTATAAATCATTTTATAAATTATTTATGAAATAAACATTTATGGGATTATAAGCCTAATTATGATTTGTTAAAAACGGATTTTATATTTATATACAACAATAATTTCTTATTAAATGTTTTTTTTTCTTCTTTGTTCTCAAGTTTTATTTTTGTCATATACTGATTTTCATTTTTGTTTTTTCCTTTTCTTTTTGTTACAGGTTCATTAATGCGAGACGAAGAATTGTACAGCCAATGATTGATCAATCAAATCGTGCAGGTAATTATATGAATTAAATATTAATGTTAAATATTGCAATAAGACAAAATATGATAAAATTTTGTCTTAAAATTTTAGACTAAAATTTCTTAAAAAAATTTATTAATTTCTTAATCGTTTGTTTCTTTCCAGTCTACACCCCTCATGCTGGTCCCTCCGGCTATGGTCATGATCCCATGGGCTATATGATGGACAGTCAAGCCCATATGATGCATCGTCCTCCAGGTGATCCTGGTTTCCATCAAGCATATCCTCATTATCCCCACGCTGCTGAATACTATGGACAACATTTGTAATCAAGTTTAGCAATAAAATCTCATTAAAACAAAAGATAAACAAAAATACAACCGCAAAAAAACCTTAACCCCAACTAATAAAAAAAAAGTTGGATTGCTAGAAAAAAAAATCTTCTCTATATTTATATAGTAAGAAAGCGAAAAAGGAGACCAAAACCAAAATCTTAGAACAAATATATAAGTCCTAAATAAAACAACACAACAGCAGCATTAACAACACTTAACAAAATAGCAACTAAGCAACAGCACTAGGGCAAAGGATACAAATTTATTTTGTTGTTTTTCTATTAATTTTCTAAATTGTCAAAAAAAAGAGTAAAATACCGGATATACGTAAAAATTTTAAACTTTTTAAAAAGCTTTAAACTTAAATCCCCCCAAAAAAAATCAATAAAGAATTTATTTCAAAATTTAAGCCAACAGCAGCAAGAGCGGTTAAAGGCTTTCAAAATTATAAAAAATAAAGGTGAGCATTTTGTTTAAACTCTCTTTCTCTCTCTATCTCTTGTTTTCTTAACTTAAAAAAGATTTTTAACAAATTTAAGTTTCATTTGAAAATTGTACTAAATTTTTGTAATTTGTTTTTTTTTTTTATTTTCTTTTTAGAACTTCTGCAATCACCTAGTGTTTTATGGAAATTTCTTTATAACAAAATTTTCTTAAAAAAAATCCCATACAAAAAAAAATTTCTTAAGACAACCTCCGCTACAGCAAAAGGACATTACTTGTTTTTTAAAAAATTTATGTTGAATTTAACTTTAAAAACTAAAACACAGCGAATTTAATTTTTGAAAAAAAAACAACTACCACTTTTTTTGTTATTACTAATTTAAACAAAAAGGAAAATTCTGTAATTAACTATAAATTTCTTAACTTTAATTTAATACTAAACTAAAAAAAAGAAATGATCTCCTTATTTGAAAGCCCCAGAGCTGAATATAAATTGCAAAGAGAAACCGACAAAAAATAAGAAATATGTTGCAAAAAAAAAGAAAGGAAAATAAATATAAAAAAAATAATTAAAACAAATTCCGAATATAAATTTTGAATTCAAATCTACTTAAAAACAAACACACAGAATTTAGTTAAACAAAAAGAATTGAAAAAAAAAACTGCAAAAAATTTACATAAACAAAAACTTAAATTAATATTTATCATTATAAGGCAAACAAAAACATACATATGTATACATAATTTAATAAATTAATTATAAAATAAAACAAAAAAAATTATAATAAAAAAAAACATTTTTAGTAAAAATCTTAAAAAACACACACACAATCCAAAATACACACTCTAAACCAACCAATAAATACACACATTTATACAACCCACATGTATACCAATTGTAAATGTAAAAAGTTTTTAATTATAATCACATAAATAATTAAACAATAAATAAAAAAACATTAATATTTAATAATTAATAATTATATAAAATTATGTTAAAAAAGAAAAAACCTAAAATCTTTATACAAAAAAAATATAATAGAAAAATGCTTCATTTAAATTTTAGTTAAAACAACAACACTTCTTTAAAAAAACAGAATTTAAAAAGCAATTTTATTTAACAACTAAAGAGTTTGCTTTTTTTAAAACCACTTCCTTTATAAAGAAGTTTGGTTTTTTACAAAAAAAAAAGTGTTTTTATCATTAACCGTTTCTTCTTATACCCCTCTATACTCTGTGTAAATTATTTCATTTTAAAATATTTCTTTTAAGTTAAATAAATTTAACAACAACCAACAAAATGCTTTATTATTATATTTTATTATATAAATAATTATTTTAAAAATTTCATTTAAACAAAAAATTTATAAAAAAAATCCTTAAGCTTTTCTTTAAATCATAAAAAATTGTTTTGTTTTATTTTGTTTTTTTTTTCCAAAAGTAGCGAGTATTATTAATTTGTTTTTATAATTTTTCATTTCTTTTAAAACTCTGTCTTATTTTTTTTTAAATAGTTTTATTATCTCTTTTATTTTATTTTTTTTAATTATTATAAAACAATTAATTTTAATCACTATAAATACTAATTATAAAGCAGCTGCATATAGTTTTAATTATATTAAAATATATAATAATTAATTAAACAGAAAAAAACAAGTGTATTTTTATTTTAATATTATTTTTATTATTATTTTTAATTTTAATGATTATTATTATTAATATGAATGATTATTTTTTGAATGAATGAAAAAAAAAAATGATTTAAGTGAAAAAAAAAACTATTATAAAAAATAATAATTATTTACAAAAAAATATAAAACAAACTTTTTGCGTTTTTATTTTCTTTGATTGAAATTATGGTTTCCTGACAAAATTTTTCATTTGTTTAGTTTAAATAGTTTTATTAAATTTCCGCTTTAGTTGAATGAGATTTTGATTTTATTATTGTTTGAAATTTCAGTTAAAATATTAAAAAAATAAAATATTTATCATCATTTTTGTTTCAAATTCCGATTTATGTAGTTGGTTCACAAGAAAATTAGAATTATATTGATTCTGTTTAGCTTATCAAAACCAGAATCGTATTTTAGTAAAGGTTCTTGTTATTGAAACTTTAAGAAAAACATTAATTACATACGAATTTCAATTCCACTTTCAAATGGTTTCATTCCGAAAGAGTTTATCGTTTTCTTTTTCTGTAGAAGCAAAAATACTTTCGATCGACATGGAATTCTGTGACAGGCCTGATAGTTTTGTAATGAATTATTTACTTTTGAACTCATAATAGAAAGTTTTGAATACAAATACCGAATAAAGGTTTTGAAGCTTCGATGCTGTTTAATTGAAAAAATCCTGCGCTATATATGGATACAATGTTTTAAGTCCTCTTCCGAGCACCCACATTACCCATGGATTTTTAAGCACATTTTTTTCTTAAATGATTGGTATGGCTATATATATCTAAATAGTCGCTAGTTTTCTACAATTTTTCTTTACAATGAAAAGAAAGTGATGATGAATCAGATGTAGAGTTTGGGAATTCCCGAACTTTTCAATTTCCCGGAAAACGGGAATGAAAAATTTATTTATATAAAACTTTTATTTTTAAAAACTATAGAAACAAAATTTTTTAACATATTTAACGATATCTAAAATATTCTCTGTTTTGAGAACGAATCAAACCATTTCTTTTTTAATTTTGCCAACGAAAAATTTTAAACATACTTATTTAAATCAAACCTGTACTACATGATCTAGCGGCAACATTAGGAATTTTTAACGGCAATTCTCCCACTAGCAACTCCATTAGGTATTATAAAGAGCAGTATCCTCACATTCTTTCTTCAGAATGCGATGAAGATAAATAGAAGGCATTGTGACCTTCTTTCAATGATAAACGCACAAGTCACCTTATAAACCGAAATACTCGGGATATATCGAGGTTGATAGCGGTATTAACAAGACACTGGGTGTTAGGCAGATATGCAAATCGGCTTGGGCTACTCTTCAATGAGTACTGTCGCAGTTGCAGGGAAAATGAAGAAACGGTCTTCCATCTTCAGTGTGTATGTCGTGCTCTAGCCGCTAAGAGAAACAGGTTTTTGTCAGTTACTTCATAGCCAACATTGGTGAGATAGTTTGCATACCATAGGACTACTAAACACACAGAGGGACTACTAAACACAAATTTACACCAAAGAGTTTATAATTTTTCAATAACATCCGTTGTCAAAGTATATACATACGTACGACAACACAACGGCAACGGATTGTTTGTCAATAGTAAGCTAACCTCGTTTGTTAACATTTCGACAACGGATGTGTATAAAATTTAGATTTTGATAACGAATTGTTGCAATGTTGTCAACATTACATAGTGTTGTCGTACGTATGTATATATATACTTTGACAACCGATGTTATTGAAAAATTATAAACAGTTTGGTGTCAATTTGGTACCAGGCGTGTATATTTCTTTTTCCCTCTGTATAGGACTACTAAACAGATCATATATTCCATAGGCAGAGGAATAGTTAAGTATTAAATTAATATGATTCATTCATACTTCTTAATTAATTAATTAAATATAAGAAAATATCATCTATTCCGATATTTTGTGGAAACTCAAAAGCTTTCCACAGACGTTGGCTTTAGAAATTCATTAAAGAGAATGTCAAAATGTTTGGTTCTATTTGTACTTGCTTCATGTGAAGCTTTTACATTGATAGTCTTTAATTAAGGGTTTTTTCATTTTCTTCTGCACCATTAATGATGTTATGTAATGATTATGATTATGGTTAAAAAATTTCCCGGGAAATCCCGATAAACTTTTCCTGAGAATTCCCGGACGGTATTTTCCGAACCTCAAATTCTAATCAGATGGCATGATAATCCGATTAGGATTTAAAAATGGATGGGGAGATGGGACTAGTGAAAGCAGTTTTTGACAATCTCTGGTATGAAGTTTTTAAACGTCTTAACAAGAAGTATTTGAAAGAATATCTGATATTCTTTATTTATCTCAAGTATTACAACTACGACTAATACCGGTCCCAAACAAGTAGTTATGCGACTGATTACACATTCAAATTTTTTATAATAAAGTGGAATCAGGAGTGAATCAGCGACAATTATTTAATTAATCTTTAATAATATTAAAATTTTAAATTAATTAAGGATTCCGTAAGAATTACAATGTGATATTTTATAAGGGGTCTGTCTGACTATCTTAAGGTTTTAAAGAAATCTAATGGGAAAATTAACTGACCAGTAATCAAGATTGAATCCAATTGGAACATTGTAGTAACATCAGCGCCATCTATTGCAAATTTAATGTTTAACATTTCATCATTTGAATATCTATTGAACAATTTTAATTGCAGCTAATTTATTAACTTATTAGTCGGTAGTCAATCTAGACCTAACCGAAAACTTATTAAAACCGGAAAAATGATAATTCTTTTGAAATTTGTAAACGAAGTTTTTGATAAATTTATGAATTTTATTTCGAAATTTTTTCTATTAATATTAAAATTTCAATTTTCAAATTGTTTCGCATTATCATTCTGAAAATTTTTGATTTAATTTACACTTTTTTATAATATTACTTTAATCTTGACACTTGTCTTCACAAAAGCAGCTTCTTGAACTGAATTTATTTGTAAAAAGCAAGGCAAATGAAGCATAAACCTACTTTTTACAAAATAAACCCAAACGATATACGTAAATTTAAAATGCTAAATTTAAATAACTTTTTAATTTACAATAAAAAAAACATCTATTTATAGACATTATTTTCCAAAACAAAAGTATATTAAAAAAGTACCTAAAAGCTTTTTCAAAATAAATATAATTTCAAAAAAAAAAAAAAAAAAAAAATATTTTCGAAATTAAAAAAAAACAATCACTTTAAAACTAAAAAAACCCAACAAAATGTATACGACTTTTTAAAAAGAAAAACTTAAAATAAAATAATTTTAAAATGTAAAATAAGCTTAATTAAATATAAAAATATTTTAATGTACAGTGCGCCTTAATAAAAAACCCAAAAAAATTATTAATAATAACTTAAATAAAATGTATACGAATTAATTTGAAATTAAAAAAGAAAAACTGTTAACAAATTTATAATTTATAAACAAAATCAATTTTTATTTAAAAAAAAAGAACCAATTTAAGAGAAAAAAGCATGGAAAAGACAAGAAAAAGTGCATGTGATTTAAAGAACATTTTTAGGTTTTGCCAAGAAAGGAATATTAGATAATGTATTGAAATTGATCTTATTTTTAAATAATTTTCCTTTAAGTTAATTAACAAAAAATAAACAAAAATTTTTGGTATTGTGATTTTTTAAAAATTAATTATAAAAAAAGTATACGCAAAAATATATAATATAAATTAAAAAAAAAAAACAAATTGTAAATATTAATATTATTTTAATATACGTTTAAAT